TCAGCAGAAGGCTGCCAACCCGTCGTCCATTTCACCCCGTGACCCTGCCTCCATCTATCCCAGACAGCTCCCTGACCCCTTCCTGTCAGCTGAGATCCCACCACTGGCGTCCTGCCTTCTCCCCTGGCATTTGAGCAGGTAGTTTCTGTGTCATTGAAAAAGAAAAGAAAAAAACTAAGACCCATTCTGGGTCACCTCCCACTCACCTTACCAAGGGCTTCAGGCCCCGGGCCTCCTGTCCCACGCTCTTACCTGAGGCTTCTCCCCAGATTCAAAGTCAAACAGCAACTACATGGCAACAACATTTCAAACAGAAGTGTTTAACATATACATTGAACATCTATATTCTCTAAAGCAGTGGGGACTTGGTTTCGAATTCCAGATCTTTAGTTACTGTCAAGGAGGCACTGGCCAAATTCTTTGTTTTTTTCTGAACTACAGCTTCTCTTTAAAGAGGGACATCAAAAAAAAATTTAAAAATAAAAAATAAATAAAATAAAGAGGGACACCATAACACTTTTTGTATGGTTATTAAGAAAGTGATAAATACAATCAATGTAGAACCCATCAAGTTTCAATGTAGAACCAATCAAGAGACTGACGTACCGGATAAAAGTATTTACTGGTGGATCCATATGTTAGATATTTTGATTTCAACATTCATATAACCTGACTTGAAACTCCATTGGGCGCTTCAAGTTCCTACAACGTGAGCAGAAACTCATGAATTGAAACTCATGAAACTTGAAATGAATGTTCAAAGGGAAATCATAATGTGAATTCCTTAATTCCAGGTTTGAAGATGAGAAAAGGCCAGTGCTTCCCATGATACAAAAATTACTTGCTTATGGGGCACCTGGGTATCTGACTTGATTTCAGCCTAGGTCATGATCTTGGCGTGGTGAGATTGAGCCACAAGTTGGGCTCCACGCTGGGCATGGAGCCTTCTTAAGATTCTCTCTCTCCTCCTGCCCCTCACCACCCTCCATCACCCCTGTGCACACTTGTGCACTCTCTCTCCCTCTCTATGAATAAATAAATAAATACATACATACATAAAAATAAAAAGTACTTGCTCAAAAGAGAATGACCAAAAAGATAAATTCCATGATCTTCTCTTAATAAAGTGATCTATTTCCCTTTAAAAAACAACAACAAGGGATCCCTGGGTGGCGCAGTGGTTTGGCGCCTGCCTTTGGCCCAGGGCGCGATCCTGGAGACCCGGGATCGAATCCCACATCGGGCTCCTGGGGCATGGAGCCTGCTTCTCCCTCTGCCTATGTCTCTGCCTCTCTCTCTGTGTGTGACTATCATAAATAAATAAAAATTAAAAACAACAACAACAAAAGGGCACCTGAGTGGCTCAGTTGGTTAAGCTTCTGCCTTCAGCTCAGGTCATGATCCTGGGGTCCTGGGACGGAGGCCTGCATCAGGCTCCCTGCTCAGCGGGGTGTCTGCTTCTGCCTCTGCCCCTCACCCCTTCTCGTGCACTCACTCTCTCTCTCTCGAATAAATAAAATATTTTTTTATTTTTTAAAAAATTGTTTTTTAACAAACATAAACAATTATCTTTGTGGTTCATTAAATCATGTTGTTGAGCACCTGTCATGTACAGAATTCCTGGCACTAGGCTAACACAGTGGAGGCAGCATGTGTTTTTGTTTTGTTTTGTTTTGTTTTGTTTTGTTTCATTCAACAAGTATTTTCTGAGTTCCTCCAACATGCCAGGTGTTGGCAGACGTCCTACCCTTGAGATGCTTATAGGTCATTACAGTTACGTCTGGCACAGGCTGTGCGACTTGAAGAACATGAAAGATAGACACCTAACTTTAGCTGGTGGGAAGCAGGAAAAATTCAGAAGCCATCCATGAGGAAGTGATACCCAAGTTTAGTCTAAAGGATAAGACCAATGAGGAGATGAAGAAGGATGCTCCAGGCAGAACAGCACAGGCCAACGAAGAGTAAGTAGATCATGGTACAAGATATGCTATGGTATTTGCAGGGAATTAGAGTCACTGGATCTTCAGGGATGACTAGGCATCTCTTGAGGGGGTGATGGACATCCCCCAGGAAGACCATGCTGTGTGTGCAAAGTGCAGTGTGCGCCATCTTGGGAGAGGTGTAAGCCATATGGAATGATGGCTGAAGCGTAGGGTATGAGGACCATGTAGCACCTGGCAGACTTGATTGCCATGTTAAGTAGTTTGGACTCAAAGTGATAGGAATTACTGAGGAGGGGAGAGAGAGAGAGAGAGAATGAGAGAGAGAGTTAGTTGCCTTTATAGTCATGGCTCCAACCACCACATGGGAGACATGCTGGAAAGAGCAACTAGAGGTGGGGAGACACATTAGAAAGAAGACTATTGTCATCCAATGATTGGGGTGAAAAGTGACAGATGCTCAACAAGGCAGTGGCCATAGGACACCATATTTAAACAGCTGGATAAATGATACAAAGTAACATTAACAACATACGCTTCTGAATCAGACAGACCTAAGTGTGGACCCCAGTCCTGCCCCTCACCATCTGTGAGCAAGTTCAGCTAACCTCTCTGAGATTCCACTGCTTCACCTGTGAAGTCAGGACAATGACGAAACAGACCTCACAGCTGTCAAAAGGGTGACAGAGCACAATATACACAAGGAACACAGCCTGAGCCCGACCACACAGTGAATGTGCATGAATGAAAGCCACCGTCCTTAGCATCATTAACTGGATGTGGTTGACCAGATGCAGAGCCTGAGAGAGACCAGAGACCACAATGACTCCAGGGTCTCTGGCTGACCGCAACTAACAGAAAGCAGAGAGAGGAGTAGGCAGGTGGGGAATGAGACCTGGAAGAAGATGTACTCATTTGTTGAGTATGAAGTGCCCACTGTTGGAAAAGCTAATTCTCCAATTGTTTGCACTCTGCACCTTGCCATGTCACCAAGAGGGCAAGACCCTGGCTGCTCTTTACCTGGGCTGCTTCTCAGTATTGCCTTTGCAACAAGCAACCTTGAGAGACAAGGTGGTATCTCCCTTAGGCCTGCTTATTGCTTCCTACACGAGCTATGGATTCCCAAGCTTGGTGTTCCTCAGTGATGCAAATCCACTGCTTGTAGAGCTGGGCCCATCATGCTGCCCCCATGGGATTCCAAGGCAAGGGGAATTGATGCAATATGCTGTTGTTCATGCCATGCGCCATATGTGCCTGAGTAATACAGTCTTGGACCTGGGAGTCTCGTCTTCTGCGGCATCGATGAATCGATGACAGGTTAACTTATTGACTTCTAAGTTGGAAAGAGAAACTTAAGAGTCATCAGTGTGTGCATAGCAGGTAAAGCCATGGGTATAAATGACATCACCTTGGAAGAGGTCAGGGGCATGCCCTGGGTAATGCTGACATGGAAAGGATGAGGATAAGAAAAGGAGCTCCCAGATGACCTCAAGAAAAAACCTAGAGGGGAGTAGTGCCTTACAAGCCAAGTGAGTAACACCGCAATCAAAACAAAGTAGACGGAGCCTCGGTGCCCATCGAAAGATGAATGGATAAAGAAGATGTGATCTATGTATACAATGGAATATTCCTCAGCCATTAGAAACGACAAATACCCACCATTTACTTTGACATGGATGGAACTGGAGGGTATTATGCTGAGGAAATAAGTCAATCCGAGAAGGACAAACATTATATGGTCTCATTCATTTGGGGAATATAAAAATTAGTGAAAGGGAATAAAGGGGAAAGGAGAGAAAATGAGTAAAAATATCAGTGAGGGTGACAAAACATGAGAGACACCTAACCCTAGGAAACGAACCAGGGGTAGTGGAAAGGGAGGTGGGGGGGGTTGGGGTGACTGGGTGATGGGCACTGAGGGGGGCACTTGGTGGGATGAGCACTGGGTGTTATGCTATATGTTGGCAAATTGAACTCCAATAAAAAATAAATAAATAAAATAAAATAGAGGGAGAAAAAAAACAACAAAGTAAACAGCAGGAAGAGATACTGCTTAAAAGTCAAATAAGATGAAGCCTGGGGGCCCTGGGGTGGCTTAGTAGGTTAAGCGTCTGAGTCTTGATATTGGCTCAGGTCATGATCCTGGGATCAAGCCCCATATCAGGCTCTGTGCTCAGGGAGGAGTCTGCTTCTCTGTGTCCTTCTGCCCCTCTCCCCTGCTCATGCTTTCTCTCTCTCAAATAAATAAATAGAATCTTTAAAAAAATTCTCTTTCCCTCTCCCTCTATGCTTTGCACACATGCGCACTCTCTCTCTCTCTAAAAGAAAGAAAAAGAAAGAAAGAAAGAAAGAAAGAAAGAAAGAAAGAAAGAAAGCCACTGAACTTAGCAACTAGGTCACTGGCAGAGACATTTCAATGACATAGTGTGGCCAGAGTGGGCGAAGAGTGAATGGAAGTAAACATCTTCAATAAATATGTTTCCAAAAAGCTTAGCTGGAAAGGAAAGAGAGAGGTGTGGCACTGGTGACCAGAGGGGACGGGGCAAATGAAAGTTTTCTCTGTAAACAGATGGATGAGATTTGAGCAGATTATATGCTGAAGAGAACAAGCCAGGAAAGAGGGCAAAGCTGAGTAGAAAAATAAGAGCAGGGACACCTGGGTGGCTCAGTGTTTGGCTGGTGAGCCAAAGCATCCACCTTTGGCTCAGGTCATGATCCCGAAGTCCTGGGATTGAGCCCCACATTGGATGCCCGCAGGGAGCCTGCTTCTCCCTCTGCCTATGTCTCTGCCTCTGTGTCTTTCATGAATAAATATATAAAACCAAAAAATACATAAATAATAAGAGCAAGAAGAAGAAAGATGGAATCAGGTATCTGAAGAAGATGAAAAGGATGACTTTCAGATGCCAGGTGAGGGACTGGCAGGGACCCTCCTCCACCGAGATGGCATATGCCTTCAAGGAGGCCAACCTGCCAGCTCAGACTGTGGCCTGCCTCCAGGTGGGTGGAGTTTATGGTCCCTAGGGAGGGGTCTGGTAGGTAACTGTCCCTGGCGCCCACCTTGCCTGGCAGACCTGCAGACCAGAGATGAGAGGCACCCTTCCCAGGCCGGGGTTCTTTGGAGATGCCAACAGCTGTGTTCTATGCACAAAAGGTCCAGGCTGGTTTGGAAGGTGTTGTTCTCAGGTCTGTGAAGCTTCCACGGAGCAGGGTGTCCAAAGGAAAAGGAAGCCTGCTGGGGGAGATACAAGCCTCATCCTCCAGGTACCCGGGGTTGGCGGAGAAAACATCTGTGGGAAGACCCGGTGGTGCTCACAGAGTAGGGATAGGAACTGTCCTTTGCAGAACACCTGCACTCTGCTTGGAGCTCCTGCAGCCCCTCATTTTACTCCCCCAATTCCTGACATAGTGTTCTTACCTGAATGTGACAGAGGAAGGAGCTGAGGGCTTGCCTGATGCTCAGCGCTCAGTGTGTGCCGGGCTCCAGCTCTCTCTGACTCGGGAACTGCTCTTGTGTCCCTGTGGCTCACATTATCCTCTCCATTAAAGCAGCTGCCAGCGCCTGGGTGGGGGCAAGTGCACACCACTGTACGCCCTGCTGCAGCCCCTGCAGGTGACACCAGGGCTACGACCACCGCCTACCAGCATGCTCTCTGTGCTCTGTGCCAGGGAGGGTCCCCCAACGGCCTTAGCCCTCTCTCTGGCAGGGCCCTGGTTGGCTTCCCAAGCACCATCAGACCTTCCCAAGGGTTTGATCCCTTGGGGGCTAGTCCTGGCAGCAAGGCTGTGCAGTTGGGCCTCCCTGCAGGCACACCTCTGCTTTTCTTGCAAGGACCCAGGGAACTTTCTCCAGGGGAGTGAGTAAGAACACGAAGAGACAGTAGTTCTTCACACCTTGATGGTCCAGACCCTTTAAGAGCCTAATGGAAGCACCAGACGGACTTTCACCATAAAAGGGCACGCACACAACACACAACCTTGCACATAGTTTCTAGCTTGTGCACCAACCACCCTGCCATCACCCGGCCCTCCCCCTGTCCCCCCCACGGCAGGCGAGGTGTCACAGGAGCAGAAATCAGAATCAGCCCAGAGGCTGGCTAAAAATGCAGATCCCCAGGCCCCACCGTGGAGATTCTCATTCTGGGGTCTGGGGCCAGGCCCAGGGGCCTGCGGGTTTCACCAGCATCTTAGAGCACTCGGGCGCCGCCGAGGCGCAGAGGAGCCCACTTCGGGACACCCGACTCTGGGGCTGCGACCCCACCCCTCAAGCTGCAAAGTTTCCCGGTCTCGTCGGGCTCACCCTCGCGCGCGGTCGTGGAAGCCGCTGGGGACCCGGCGGGGACCTGCAGCGAGGATCCCCGTCGCCCGCGCGCCCCAGCCCCGGGTGGCGTCCCCGCGGCGGCCGGCAGGGGGCGCGATGCCGGGGACGCCGCCGCGGGGACGCCCGGAGGCCCCGGCCGGGAGGGAGAGGGGCGGGGAGCGCAGGGGAGGAGGGGCGGGAGGCGGGAGGCGGGAGGCGGGAGGCGGGAGGCGCGCGGCGGCGGCGCGGAGCCGGGCGCGGGCGCGGGCGCGGGCGCGGGCGCAGGGGCGGGGGCGGGAGCGGGAACCCGAGCCGGGGGCGGGGCGGGCCGGGGCGGGGCCGGCGGGCGGCGAGCGCCGGGGGAGCGCGCCCGGGGAGCGCGGAGGGAGGAGCGAGGGGAGCGCGGGCAGCCGCTCGCCCCCGCCCCCGCGCCGCCCGCGCGCAACAGTTCCCCCAAAGTTGGCGCGCGGCAGGCGGGCGCGCCCGGGCGGCCGAGGGGCGGGCGGCGGGCCGGGGCCGCGGCGTCGCGGCCGGGCGCGGGCAGGGCGGGGGCGGCGGCATGGGCACCCGGCAGACCAAGGGCAGCCTGGCCGAGAGAGCCAGCCCCGGCGCGGCGCCCGGCCCCCGCCGCGAACGGCCGGACTTCTGGGCGTCGCTGCTGCTGCGCGCCGGGGACAAGGCGGGGCGCGCGGGCGCGGGCGCGGGGCTGCCCCCCTACCACCGGCGCGTCGGCATGGTCCAGGAGCTGCTGCGGATGGTGCGCCAGGGCCGGCGGGAGGAGGCGGGGACGCTGCTGCAGCACCTGCGCCAGGTGAGCGGGGGGGGGGGGGGGGCGGGGGGCGCCGGCCGCGGGAGCACCCGCCCCTGGCCGAGCAGGCCCGGAGCGCCGAGGGCCCCGCCCAGGGCCCCCTCTGGCGGGGATGCAGCGGGTCTGGCAGCAGGTGCCTGGCGCTCCCGCTGAATTTGAGGCCTCGGGGCGGGGCGGAGGAAGGCTGGCCCGGTGAGGCCCGGCCGAAGGGGACCTGTTGGAATAATGTCCCCGCTTCTCTCCTCCACGGGCAGGGTGGGAGGCAGGTCCCAAGGATGGTCGGTGGGCGCGGTGCGGGGAGGGATGCCCGGGCTGGGCCACGGCGCTTGTCTTCCCCTCTCTCGGCTGGCAGTCACCGAGGGTCCTCCAGGAATGCGCAGCCGTGGGTTTCCCCAGGGGGAGTCCAAGGGCACAGCCGTGGGGCTGGTGAGGTGCGAGTCCCGAGGTCATTTGCCCACCGGGGAGGCATCCTGGACTGCGGCTGAGGTGGGAGACAGCGTGGATCTCCCTGGCTTACTTCGACGGGTGCTCAGCCCCGAGCCCCTGCTGAGCGGTGGAGAGAAGGGAGGGGGCAGCTGGCTGGGTTTCTGCGTGAGTACCTGGCTGCAGGAACTTCAGGAGGCGGCCAGCACTTCTGCCTTCAGCCTGTTCCTGTCCCTGTCCCATTGGTTACGGCCTGACTTTGCAGATCCAGTCAGTCCCCTTTGCTTTGGGGCTGCCCTGGACTGATGCTGTCATCCACCTCTCTGCTCATTTTCCTCCTTCACTTTCTTTGGAGAGAGGGGAGGAGGCCCCCTGTTCCGTGGATTTTATTGAGTGAAAGAGAGAGACAGGAGGGTACCCCTCTTGCATCACTGTCAAGTTGTCTTGGCCCAGCTTTGGGGGCTGACCAAGTCCAGGCCCCGTATTCCTGTTCCATTGACCCCATTAGTGGTGAGGTCCACTGCAGAACCCGGGAGGGGGGACCTCAGGTGGCCTTTCTGAAGTTTTTCTATCACCAATGAAAGAGGCTGCAGGAGCGCCTTCCTTGTAGAAGCTCCAAAACTCTAATCAGACACACATCCCTCCAGGGTTGTGTGGCACCCTTCCCCCACGCACACAGCTTTTGTGTCTGGAGTGCTGTTCCCAAGGTGCGTGCTGCACAGGGAGAAGAACGAAGCAGAGGCTTGAGTTCTTGGGAAAAGATGTGGGGCTACTGTTCCTGCCTTCCTTTATTCCAAACAACATCCAGAATAATGCCTGAGATGCTGCTGGATCCCTAGGTTCTTCTCTGAATTGAATCATCAAAGAAAGATGACATTATGCACAAGGTAACTTTAACAGTTGTGTATTTCTGTGTCTTTTGAAAATTGGAAACCAGTGTCTGGTCTCTGTGGAAACTCTTATGCTTTCAAACAGAATGATGCATTTTCCAGACCCTCGTATCCCATTTTGCACCCTAGACAGTAAGAAGGTTCTACTACTGATCACGTGTCGTTCCCCCCAGCACCAGGGCGAGTGCTTCAGGGAGTACAGGGGAACTGAGAGGGCTGACAGGTGGGGGTCAAGACAAGCCCTGCTTAGAGGAAAAGAACAGAGTAAAGCCAGCATTCTCGAGAGCCATTTGCCTACGGCCCGCAGGAGTTCGCACACACCTTGTCTCCTCCAGTCCCTCTGAAACTGAGTGTGGTTCCCCATCCTGAGGCTGAACTTCTCCCTGGTTTTTTTGAGAGTAGGTAAGTTCCTGTGGCCTCACAGGGTCCTGAGACAGGGAGCATTTCCTGAAAAATGTTGGTCTTGTTTGTGGCCTGATACTCTTCTCAGGGGCAGGCCTGGAAGGGCTGTGGGGGGGCAGGATGGGGTTCATCAGACCTTCCCCTTTTCTGTGAAAGCAGCAGGATAATATGCCTTCCGGGTCTTGTGTGTCGGGGCCCCTTGACCTCTGGCTTGTGGGTGAGGTCTGTAGGTCTCTTGGGAGTCAGCATGGGCCTGCCCAAACGGGCCTGCCCTGTCGCCTGGAACCTACAGATCAGGGCTCCTTCAGGAAATGGTCAGGGCCCTGGGTGGTGTAAGAGCACCTGGGAGCCCCTGGTTCCCAAATGTCCATGAGACACAGAGAAGCGGTTTTCTAGGACCCTGATGCTCTTTAGAGGAATATTGAGCTGGATCTGTGCTGTGCACTGAAGTGGCTCTTTCTCCCAAATTGCATTTTCCTTTCCAGTTTGCTCCTCTGATCTGGAGGTGGTGATGTTCAGAAAGGGAATGAGCAGCCACTGAGAGACAGGAAGTCACCCGGGGTCAGGCCAGGTAGAGTGTCTTTAGTAAGACAGGAGGCAAAGATGGGTGAATGCAGAGCTCAGGGGGTGCAGTCCTGCGGGGATGCTGGCCCAGCCCCTCAGGGCAGGTGTAGGTGAACAGAACCGGTAGAGACCGGTAGCAGCTAGGACAGGACTGTAATAGCCCTGGGTTGTTTTGGGTTTGGTTCCTTTTCTTCTTCTTCTTCTTCTTTTTTTTTTTTTTTTTTTTTTTTTTTGCAAGGTGCTTTCTTCTATGTTGGAAAGTGTGTGTTTAGCTGCCAGGTTTGGTTATGCAGTGAGGTCCAGGGTTGGAGGGGACTTGGGATCTTCAAGCCCTGTGGTTCTTAGGGTTCTTAGCCTCCATCCTCCAGCATCTTGAGCCCTGAATGAGCTATGGACACTCTTCCTAGGCCAATGCACCAACGCAGACAACCTTGCAAGAATTTCTGAGGATTCATAGACCCCAAGTTCAAGATAGGCTCCAGTCTGGTACCCCGCGTTCCCCCCCCCCCCGCCCCACCTCATGATTTGCTACGGGCTCCGGAATGGAAAGAGGGACCTCGGGGGTCTTGTGTGGCCGTTTGTGGTAGCTGCTGGTGCCACTTCCTATGAACGCTCCTCTTTCACCTCTGAGGGGTAGTTTCCACGGTTGGAGACTCAAGAGTCAGTCTGTGCTTGTCACTTGCTGGTGAAGTATCAGTAGGCTTTACTTACTGTTAACAATCCTGAGTTGTGGCCAGGGGTTCAGGCAGGGTGCCAGGAAGTGCCCTGAAGGAGATTGATCCCTATATCTTTAGGAGCAGGGTCATCATGAGAAGAGCCCAAGCCCAAAGGTCAGCTCAAGGAGCTTGCCTTCCAGTCTTAGCTTTGACCTTGGGCCCAGCAGATAACCTCTCTGAGTTGTATTTCCTCATTTCCTGAAGAGTGTCTAGGGTGCTGAGCAGAGCAAATGCTACAAAGTACTTGAAGTCAAGTTGCCTCTGCAAATCAAGGCACATTCTCATGGCAATAAGAACAAGAGAACCTGCTCTACTTTGGGTCTGGCCAGGCTACGGGTAGGGTCTTGGTACCCTTTCTCGGCCCAGGCCCAGAGGGGTTTTGGATTTGGTTTACCTGGCCAGGGATCCCTCTGGATCAAAAGCTCAGTGCAGAGACACCTGGGTGGCTCAGTGGTTGAGTGTCTGCCTTTGGCTCAGGTCATGATCCTGGGGTCCTGGGATCGAGTCCCACATCAGGCTCCCCACAGAGAGTCTGCTTCTCCCTCTGTCTATGTCTCTGCCTCTGTCTGTGTGTCTCTCATGAATAAATAAATAAATAAAATTGTTTTTAAAAAAAAAAGTTCAGTGCAAGTTCAGAAGCAGTCTGGTGTGGGGAACTCATGGGGACGAAAGAAGCCAGCTGTGGATAGAGGAGGTCATTCCTCTCCCCGTCCCTGGACTCCATTCCTGCAAGCCTGACCCTTCCCCAGAGGCTGCTCCCCAAGCCTTAGGCTCAGGCTGGCCGTCCTTCAGGGGCCCTGAGGATCAAGTGCCCTTAGACATGCAGAGAGGGCAGATACCAGGCTATGTGGGAGATGGGCTGTCACCATTTCAGCCCAGCCATCCCTCTGAGTCCCACAGATGGCAGACTGGGTCATTGGCCAGCTTCATGGGATGCTGGAATGTGGGGTCAGTTCCCCCAGGATACACCAAGGTGCAGTGGCCTGCCTCCTCGTGCTCACCAGCCTCACTGCTCTCCCACACAGAGGATCTGATTAGGGCAGTTTATTGCCACTCAGTATGGTGCAGCCATACTGGGCACAGCTGTTCTAGGGTTAGCCTGTTCAGTCCCACCCAGTGACATGGCTTGGGTTCAGTCTGCTGTGGCCAGGGTGGCAGGCCTGGCTTCACTTTATACCCTAGATGGAGAATGAGCCACATCAGCTAAGGCAAGAAAAAAAAAAAAGAACACCCCCTACCACCAGGGCCTAGGGTGACTTGCTTCCTAAGGGGGCTGAGTGGCAGAGAAGCCTTTAGAGGCTCCTTGGGATCCTGGATGCTGGACAGGTGTTTCCTACCCGGAAGCAGAAAGATGAACAAAAGGGCTTTGAAGGTCACCTTTTTCCTCTGATACCCTCTCCCCTAAGAAAATCTCTTTCCGTGAACAGCTCGGGAGGCCACCAGACACCAAACAGGGAGGTCCCCCACCCTTGGCCTTGACCCGGAATGTCTTTCCTTGTTTCCGGTGAATGCTCCTAGCCTTTCCAAGGCCAGCTTCCATGTCAGCCCTGGGCTCTGAGATTCACTTGCCTTTCAGGTCCCACGACATGGGGTAGCACTTAACCATCCGTAGTTTTTCACCTGACACAGATTTTGCTTGTCAGACCATGTCATGTGCTTCCTCAGTGTGGAGACCCTGCCGCCACTGCCTCTGTCCCTGGCATGGCATTGAACCCCCACAGGCCTGTGACATTCTTTAATAAGTCTGTGCACCGTGAAGATGTGCATCCGCCACCACTGTCACCATGTGTCCTCAGAAAGCCCTTGAATCCCCAGCCACTGCTGTACATCTGGTGGCTTATTTACAAAGCGCACCCGTACGGCCTGAGATCTGACACGTTGGCCTTCTGTGCGCTTGGATGTCTGGGAGCGATGGCCTCGGGGCCTGGCTGTTCCTGGCAGCCTGCCAGGTGGTGGTGTTCTTGGAGAGAGGAGTGGCCCGGTGCCCAGCCTCCCGTGGGCACCCCAG